GGCGCGCGGCTCTTCCGCCGGGCTCTTGCCGGGCTCCGGCACGGGCGACGCACGGGCAGGCGGCGGGGCCACGTCGAAGGTGGGGGGGCTGTAAGGGGGCGTCATGCACTGGAGGACAAGAGGAGAAAGGGGGTCACACCCCGGGCGAGGGCCTTTCAACCCCCGAGGCGGGAAGCGTCAAGGACGGGGAAGGAGCTACTTACAAACGGCGAGGTCTGGCTGTCGTCCACCGGGCTGGCCAGCAGGGGGTCTTCGGCTTCCTCCCACACGTCCGAGGAGGGCGTGAGGGGCCTGACGTCCGCGCACCTCCTCCCGGCGGCCTTCCACCGGCAGCTCATGGACATGAGGGCCTCCGCCGCGTCCATGTCGCCCCTCTCCGCCGCCGAGAGGCCCCGCCAGCATCTCCCCGCCGCGACCTGCGGGGTTTCCCGGAGAGCACTGGGTCACAACTACCCCTGCGGGCTTCCGGCTTCCTGCCTCCCCCTCACGGCCCCCCGAGCCAGGCTCCCACCACGGTTCTGAGACGCCCGCCCACCCCCCTGGTCTGCTGGAGGCACAGTGACAGGGGTAACTTTCCACTTGTGAAGCTGCCCTATTTTTACCCCGGCCTGCCTCCATCCCCCTGCCAAACGAAGCCCCGGTGTGGATTTCAACGAGGGGCAGCGCCACCGCCTCAGGCCGGGCGCCTTGCCTGCTGGGCAGCGGAGGGCAAGATTTGGTGAGATGGCATAAAGGCATCAGAAAAACCTGATTGCGTGTGAGCGAGGGCTATCGCACTGAGCGGCTATGCGCCTAAAATTAGACCCAGGGCCACATGCATGGCCGTGTCGCGTCGAGAAGGACCCCACCCCACATCCAGAGACAGAAATAACCGGGGCGAGAGGGTGTCCCTGCTCTGTCTTGGCCGCAGAGCACTCTCTCCGGCACATTCCGACCTGCACGCACGCAGCGGCCCCGCCCCTCGCAGTCCCCGGGCCCCGGCGCCGTCTGATTGGCCCGCGGCTCCCCGCTGCGCGCCTGCCATTGGCCCGTCGGCCAGGAGGGTGGGCATGTGAACAGTGCGTGATCGGCCGCTGTTCTTCAGCACTGGGAGAACGTGAACCCGGGGGAACTGCAGTATCGTAACCTTTCCCCTACTTCTCGGCTACTGCCGGTCCAGCGCTGGAGACTGGCAAGGGTTTCTCTCATGCCGAGAAAACAACAACCCAGACATGGAGCTGCTACTGTTTCAAATACGAGCGACACGGCTTTCTGCAACACAGAGCCGGACAGTATCCTCATCAGCCTCTTTAGACCACTTCATCACCTCTCTTTTAGTTTTCGGCATTTTACACTCCAAAAAACAAAAACAAATAACCCAGGAAAACAAAACAGATCCACATTTTTGCAACGAAGAATCGTTTTATGCCCGTGGTTTCGTGTTTTTATCAGCTGTAGCCCTTCATACTGGTAATATTTACGATGACTGCTCAATTACTTTAGCTATAGATATTAGCGCTGTCATTTTTATCACGCCTCGCTATATTTGTTTTCTCTCTCAAATACCTTTACATAAGGTGACGGGTGAATTCACAACAGTGAAGCGAGCTTTTAATGCACCGTTTAAAAAAAAAAAAGACTACATTAAGCAAACGTTACTTACATCATTCTGCGGCTGGGGACGCAGGGTCTGACAGTTCAGCATCCTCTCTGGCTTTCAGCTAGAAATGCGTCGCCTATCAGTCCGTTAGCGATCCTTTGTTGCCGACAGCGGAAAGAAACCGCCTCTGCTGCTTTCTCAGGCTGAAATACAGCTCGTCATGTTTCTCCCGCAGCTCCATTCAGCCGACGCTTCGACTGCGGAGCGCCCACGGGGGCGGGCACCACCCAGCAGCCAATCAGAGGCAAAGGTGTGTGGGGCGCCGGCCAATCAGGGGGGGGGGAGACGCGTGATCAGGGGCTGATGCGCGGCATGGAAGGCCTCGGCAGTGGCGTGGCCCGCGAGCGGCGGCCGGCATGTGCGCGCGGTGACGAGTGCGGGAAGTCCTCCCCGCCTCAGTCAGTGTCACGTAGTCTCCTCTCGCCGGCATGAGTAATCGTGTCGAGAAAGAGGTGGAAGAGGCGGGCGTCTGTCTGGGGGCGAGGAAGTACGAAGACGTGTGTCGCTCTTGATACTGGCCGGGGGGGGAAGAGTGTGCGTCACCGTCGTGTTTTTGAACACTGGGGAGCTCCTGTCTGAAACGGCGCAGCGCACCGCCTGGAGATCTAAAGGATTCGGTGCTGAAGACTGCAGGAACGCAAAACGGGAGAAAAAAAAACAGTTTATAAGCGTCAGTTGATTATACAAGGGAAATAAAGCAGTGAAACAATTCCTACAGTTGATGATGATAATAATCATTTGAATAAGGCGTCGATTTGAGTTGTTCTGTATGTTAAGCTAGTGTCTGAAGACGTCGTGCACCAAACCACGACTTGATGAAGGGCTTCGCAGAAACTAAAGTAACAGTGATATGAAAACCATGATATGAAATTGCTGATTATTTTCTCAACGTCGTTTTGGACAAGTTCTCAGTCTGATCAGACCTGAATGAGAATGGAGTGCACGTTCAGCAATAGGCTGATCCAACCACGGTGCGACAGGGAGCGCTACAGGGGGTCATTCTTGCTTTCTGCCATAAGACTGTCCAGCCCATCCACTGTGTGTCTGGGCAGAGGCAACATTGACATTGATCTGTTTTTGGACTAAACATTAAACTCCCTGCTTACATCTGTTTTTCCCTGTTTGCAACTGTTTTTCGTGCAATATATGCTAGGGACTTGTGCATTATATTTTTATATTTATAATGTGAAATACAACTTTTTGTGTACTGTTCTGTTTTTTTGTATATTCTGTACTGTGAGCAACATTTTTTAGCGTACTTCCCACTGGCTGTGCTGACTGTATTGCCTTGTTGTATTATTTTGTTACACTGTGCTGTGTTGACTGTGCTAAGCTGCT